CCCTTGGAAGTAGGAGACTGTGTAAGGGAGAAACAGGTGACCCTCCCAAGGTCATAACTGGTGTACGGTGAAGGCCGGGCTCAAGCGGAAATCTTTGTGTGGCTTACATTAGATGCTTTCCTTAATTTGCTCCTCTCAGGAGAAGACCTTAAGCATGCAGTAAATACCACTGGGGCTCTTATCTCTGACGTGGGAACAGCTGTTTGCAAGTCCAGGTGAAGCAGATAACCCAGCAGTTCTCCTGGGTACAGCCTGCAGGTCCCCCACCAGCCACCACTCCTGGAGGCAAGGCCTGTGTCCATTCACCATGGAGTCCCCACGTCAGTACCCCTAGTGGAGCAAAATGTTTGTTGGCAACATGAAGGAATGAGGAAGTGAATCGCTTCATGACCCTATGAATGAATGAATGAATGAATGAATGAATGAATGAATGAATGAAGCAACTCTTGGCATGATGCATTAATGCGATAGGAAGCAGCCTTTCCAAGCATCCGACGGCCCGGACATGGTCACTAAGATCAGTCTGTGAGCTCCAGTGGGACAGGGACCCTATAGGTCCTGCTCACTAGGCTGTTCCCAGGGAGTTAGCACGTGCCCAGCGCAGAGCAAATCTTCAATGCACTTTGGTCCAGCTGAGGGTGGTCTTATGAGAGGCGGTCCCTCGGGGACAGGCAGCCCTGCTCTCGGAGAATGACTGACAGGCTCTCTCCCTCGGCCTGGGGTTCTTTCCTGGGCGCCCCCGTCTCACCCCTGCCTCCTCCCGCTTCCCAGAGCGCACACGGTTATGATCACAGCGCCACCGCGCACCACACCTCCCCCTGCTCCCCCCTGACTCTGCGCAACGTGCGAGTTAAGCAGCGGCCGCACGGGTCCCGCGTGAGTGAGAATCCCGCGCAGGGGCCAGCAGCAGTGCTCAGAGGTCACCTCCTGGCACAGGTGAGAGTAAGAAAGTGAGGCCCTGCCGTGCGGCTCAGTCGTTGAGCGTTGACCTACGAACCAGGAGGTCACGGTTCAGTTCCCGGTCAAGGGCACATGCCCAGGTTTCGGGCTCGATCCCCAGTTGGGGGCGTGCAGAAGGCAGACAATCAATGATTCTCTGTCATCATTGATGTTTCTCACTCTTTCTCTCCCTCTCCCTTCCTCTCCGGAGTCAATAAATATAAATATATATATATGTATATACATATATTTACACACATATACATATATATTTTGCTCACTAAAAAATATCTTTATTGTTGAAAGTATTGCATATGCCCCCTATATTTCCCCATTGGCCCCTTCTAGCCTGTCCCCACCCCCTACCCCAGGCCCTCACCGCCCTCTTGTCTGTGTCCATGGGGGATGCTTATATGCAGACAAGTTCTTTGGTTGAACTCTTCCCATACACCTACCCACCCGCCTTCGCTCTGAGGTTCATCCCTCTGTTCCGTGCTGCTATGTCTCTGGACCTGTTTTGTTCATCAGTTTATTTTGTTCATTAGATTCCACATATGAGATCATGTGATACTTGTCTTCCTCTGACTGATAAAAATATATCTTTAAAAAATAAAGACTCTGTGAGCAGGTGGCCCGGGGTCACCACACGGCACTTCCCCCGGCGCTCAGCCCGGGTCCGGGCGGCCCACAGCACTGCCACGTCTACACGTGTGTTCATGTGTCCGTGTCGGCCCCGTCCGAGCAGGGAGGTAACTCACATTCCCCATATTCTCGGCCCTTCGTTTTCTGTTTTCATTTCGGTTTCGGCTTTTTATTAATAACGTAGAAGAAGGAAACTCCCACACGGATGTGAGCAGCTCGCCACCACCACCTTCTGGCCGCCCCGGGCAGTGAAGCCGACGCCGCGGCCTCAGGGGCGGACACGGATCCCGGGAGGGGTCCCGTGGGTGCTCAGTGCTGTCTCCCCTCTGACACGGGGGTGGGGGCTGCGCTGGGGTGAGAAGGGAGAAGACGTTGAATCTGAAACCCTGTGTTCAGAAAAATCATAGAACGTAAACGTTAATCATAAGATCGTTTTCCCAAAGCGTATTGTTAAGAGGCTGCGAAACATGGGCCAGGCTCGCGGCTTAATTACGGGTTCAGAAGAGCCTCGCGCGTCGCTCCCGCTCCAGGAAAACATGACGGAGCACGCACCCCGGCTTGTACGTGTGCTTGCCGCGGCCTCAGACACGGGCTGGTGCTGGGCTGTCTGCCCCGGCCTGCTGCCGCCGCAATCCGCGGCCTGGGGGCTTAGTGACGATTACAAAACGCCTTTTGTTCGCCTGGTAAGTGATTCAGATATCTGAGCGCTGCCGGTCCACTCGGCGAGGGTGGTAGCGAGGACACATGCCGTCTCACGGGAGAGCTGAGTCTGCGTCCCCCCCCCCCGGCCCCCCCTCCCGGGAGCAGAATGCCTGGAGCGGTGGGAACCCTGGGCAGCCTGCTGGGCGCCGTTTGCTGTCGGTGGCTGGGAAAGCTGTGAGCTGCGAGGCTGTCTGACATCTTTGGTTGCCCGTGTAGTCTCCCCTGAGTTTCAAATGGGTCTTTCTCTCTCTCTCTCTCACTCCTTGCAGCTCCTCGAATTCTCTAAAATTCAGCAGCCCATGAAAACCCGACTTTACAATTAGATTCAAAGATTCTCAGTTAAGATAGCTGCCCAGGTTTTTCAAACTTAATAATTCAGTGATTTAAACAAAGAAAACATGCCCTGGCCAGTGTGGCTCAGTGGATAGAGCGTCAGCCTGCGGACTGAAGGGTCCTGGGTTCGATTCCGATCAAGGGCAGGTACGTGGGATACAGGCTCCTCCCCGGCCCGGGCCCTGGTCAGAGCCCGTGCAGGAGGCAACCCATCGATGTGTTTCTCTCACATCAGTGTTTCTCTCTGTCTTTCCCTCTCTCTTCCCTCTCTCTAAAAATCAATGGAAAAATATCCTCAATTGAGGACAAAAATAAAAGAAGATAGAAAGAAATGGATCCGTCGGAGGGAAGGGTGGGGGGCTGCTGGGAGAAGAATGGGAAGGAAGACTGGGTGGGGCTCCAGGTGCCTGGTGCGCTGCCCACGATACAACGTTGGGGAGCTGAGCAGAGAGGCCCTTCTGGGAGCCGGGCGCCCCTTGGAGCAGGTGGGGACATGGCATCGCCGGGGGAATAACGCACGTCTACGTCCGGCGCAGACAATACTCACACCTGCTCTTTTCCTGGGCGGCTTGCTCTCTAGAGTGACGCCCAGCATGGAGCGCCCCGGCTGGGGCCCCAGGGGGTGTAGTCTGCTGTGCCCTCTGTCCACAGAGAAGATGGGACACAGAGAACGTTCGTGTTTGACCTAAAGAAAAGTAAAGCCGGCTTCTGGTGGGGCAACGTCCAACCTGCATTTTCTTACGTATTTTGCCCCAAAATAGAGGTGTTTTTTTTTTCTCCTCCTTTTTTTATATATATTTTATGGATTTTTTACAGAGAGGAAGGGAGAGGGATAGAGAGTTAGAAACACCGATGAGAGAGAAACATCGATCAGCTGCCTCCTGCACACTCCCTACTGGGGATGTGCCCGCAACCAAGGTACATGCCCTTGACTGGAATCGAACCTGGGACCCTTGAGTCCGCAGGCCGATGCGCTATCCACTGAGCCAAACCGGTTAGGGCTTTTCTCCTCCTTTTCACCTGCAAACAGCATGATGCTTTTGAGAACAGACTCCTGGGAACGCTGGAGTCCAGTTTCCAAAATCCTTTTCACCTAAACCTTCCGAAGCCGACTCTGGTCTCGTCACCTTCCTGGGCCTCTTTCCTGGCAGCCTAGAAGGTTCTTGCCAACACTCTGCCCCGGGAAGAGGCAGGACCCCTCGGTGTCGGGTGACGGAGCCAGCTCCGGGCTGGGTTTGCAAGCATCATCGGGCCGCAGGGCCAGCTGCCCGGCCGGGCCTGCTTTTCCATCGGCCTTGGCAGAAAATTCCCCTAAACAGAAAGCATTTCAGGCCCTGTGGATTCTTTCTGCCAAAAGGTACAAAAAGAAAAACAAAACACTTTACGTTCTTTCTTGCTCTCTAAGTACAGACAGGTGGTCACTGAGTTGGGAAACGTTTCAGATGGTGGTCATGTGATTATTGGTGACGCTGAAATGTCTGCACAGTCACTACGAGCAGCTCGGCAGTTTGAACGTTAACACTCCACCTGGCCTGGCCGGCGGGGCTCAGTGGCTGAGCGTCCACCTGTGAACCAGGAGGTCACAGTTCGATTCCTGGTCAAGGACGCAGGCCCGGGTTGCAGGCTCAATCTCCAGTGGGGGACGTGCAGGAGGCAGCCGATCAGTGATTCTCTCTCATCATTGATGTTTCTGTCTCTGCCTCCCTCTCTCTTCCTCCCTGGAACCAATAAAAATATATTTACAAAAAACAAAAAACACTCCACCGGGAAATCTTCCTCATCATTATCCTCATCTCTCTCTCTCTCTATATATATATATATATAAAAGTGTAAGCGACCGTCTGACCACTCGACCGTCCAACCAGTAGCTATGACACACAATGACCACCAGGGGGCAGATGCTCAACACAGGAGCTGCTGAGCTGCAGTGACTTGGCAGCTGCGGTTCTCAGGTGACACACCCAGAACCAGAGAGGAGGGAGCCTGATTCTGGGGTGCATTACCCTAGAACCACCCTCTCACAATCAGGGACCCCTCAGGGGATGTCGGAGAGCTGGTTTCAGCCTGATCCCCGCAGGCCAGGCCGAGGGACCCCACCAGTGCACAAATCTGTGCACCGGGCCTCTAGTGATGAAATAAAGCCTGTGGAGGGAGTTAGAAGAGGGAAACCTTCAAGAACCAAACATAAACTACATTTCAGTATTTTGGAGGGAGAAAGGGCCAAACGAAAGCAAATACTTGGACTTAAGTGAGCTTACGGGACACTGGCAGAGAGGCCACACACGTGTGACATATTGAGACAAAGGAAACTGGTTTCTTATTAAAAGTCTTTTTTTTTAATCCCTCCCACTCTTACCTGTCACTGACCTCCCGGTTCTCCGCAGACACCAGGCAGATCCAGCCCTCCCCGCCCTGGTCCTACGACCAGTCCTACCAGTACCTGGGCTCGATCGCCTCTCCCTCCGTGCACCCAGCGACGCCCATCTCGCCGGGCCGGGCCAGCGGCATGACGACCCTCTCCGCGGAGATTTCCAGCCGGCTCTCAAGTAAGCGGCCCAGAGACACCCTCTGAAAGCGAGGGAGGTCGCGGAGTGGGAGGTCGCGGAGTGGGAGGTCGTGGGACCAGAGGAGATGCGTGGAGCGGGTGGCGTCACTTTTCATGGGCTCAGATGTGGTTTAAAGACAGGGCTGTCCAGCTCCCGGTCCCACGGCCATGCGCTGCCGGCCTTGACCCCCAGCGGCAGGGGTGGCCTGGACACCTGGGGCGTGGTGGGGTGGTTCACGTTCCACAAGCAAAGGTGGCAGCTGGAGGGTTAATCATACTATAGAAGGAAGAAGTCGGCCTGCGGAATGCAGTTGGGATGAGTCACGTGACCAGCTTTCACGGGTCACGCGTGACCAGCACCCTGGGGTCCCCGTGGGATGGGAAGCAAGCGAATACACCCCAAGGGAGACAGTTCCACTAGAAGCTGCTCATACCAGGCAGGAGGCCCCGTGGAAAGCCCGGTGGCGTGGTTCGCGCATTGCTGTTAGCACCAGCTCGCTAATATTAGGCATTTCACTGCGGGGCCTCCGGGCTTGGCGCTCACCTTTGCTCGTGGGCAGGGAGCTCAGAGCTGCAGAGAAACATCCCTTTGCTGAAAGCAAAAGGAGAAAGCCTCCGTGGGCTGTGACGTGGGAGCTGGGCGGGGCCGTGACAATGGCTCCGGGACCCCGGCCTCGGACGGCCACACACGCACTTCCCGCCCGGGGCCGCGGCTGCGTGGCTCTTCCCTCCTCGGGATCAGTTAGAGCAGGCGAGGGCGGGCAAAGACAAGGGCCGCGTGCCCGGCATCTCCAGGGCGGCCCAGTGTCGTGCTGTCCAGACAGTTGGGGTTGCTTGGGGTTCACCAGGTGCTTTAGCCGCTTCTCAACGGGGGCACCGATGGCCTTGGGGACCAGGCAGCTCTTGGCTGGGGGGCCGTCCGTGAGATGCAGGTGCTTAGCAGCGCCTCTGGCCTCTGGGTTCCAGTAGCCCCCGCTCTCCATGGGGACAGCCACAGAATGTCCCCGGACCTTGCCGGATGTCCCCACACCACCCCCAGGTGAGAACAGGGCCTTCGCGTTCCTCGGGAGCTGGCGTGCCGTAGGGAAGCCACCGGCCTGTCCAGTTTTCACCTGGTTCCGGCCATGGGTGCCAACGTCTTCCTGGCACCCGCGGGCTCCGGCGGGGAGGAAGCAGCGCAGGCATGAGGACGGCTGCTCGGCTTGTGGCTTAGAAGGCCCGTTCCGAGGCCCTTGTCAAGTCTCACTGATTCTGCTCGGGGCGCTGCTCTGCCCGCGGGCTGGCCGTGGCCTGCTTCCGAAACGACGCCTGCTCTCCTGGGCAAGGGCCCTGTTCGGGGTCTGTCCCTGGGAATTCATTACGTCTTTTGGCCTGGTCGGCATCTTATAGTCCAAGGACCGTAGGGGCCAAGAGCTCCAACTGACCGTGATCAAGCATAAGGGTGATTTAAAAAAAAATGGGTACTGTGAGCACCCCCAAACCCAGCTTCAGGCACCCCCGGGTGTGGAAGGATGCGTCATGGCCTGAGGGTGTGCAGTGGGCACAAACCAGGTCCCATTTCTGCACCCGGATGGCCCTTTGCTGACGGGGAGGGAGGACCAGTGAGAATCGCAGAGAGCAGCATGGGAGATGCTTTTCACTAGCAGATCTCCCCCTCGAGCAGGGCTGAGCCCGGCCTGAAAGTGTGGTCCTGTGCTGGGGCCGGGGCTGGAGGGGGGTTGGGGGGGAGGGGGAGACACAGAAGTGGCCACTTGGCCCCAGCTTTAGAGCCCAGCCCTGCCCTGGCCTGCCTTTCCCTTTCGCCCCGCCCCCGGCTCTGCGCTGTCCTGCCCCGCAGCCCCAGCCCCAGCCCCACCTGGGCTGCCTTCTGCGGGGGACTTGCACTCTGTCTGCCTCTCTCTCCTCTGCAGACAGACTCCACACCTTGTCTGAGAAGAGTTGTCATCCAGAGGTTTTCTTTGCTTTTTTTCCTTCTGCTTTTTTTAAAAGAAGTTAATGTTTAGCTGCCAACCTGGGCGACAGACGGCATGCATTTTTCTGAGTCATGAGAAAGCTCCCTTGAAGGCAGCCATTATCTGCTCAGGCTGTTTAATCCTGTGGGGCAGGGGGCGGGGCCTGGCGTGGGGCCGCTTTCATCCCCGAAAACTGCAGGATGAGAACTCGAGCTGTCACGGCAAATCTTTAGCCCCATCAGTGGGGCAACATTTCCAACGAAAATACCTGCCCCTCCTAATCCCCAGATTTCCTGCTCCTTCAAAGCCCCTGTGCTCACAGGGTCTGCCCCTCCGCCCACGCTGGAGTTCACTAGGGGGCACCAGGCCAGCCAGAGGGCAAATGAGCTGCCCCCACCCCCCAGGGGTGTAACTGGTGAGGCCTGGTAGGTGGTATCAAACTGGACATCAAAATGAAAACAAATATTTGAATAGATCATTTGAATCTGAGCATAGCTAAAGGGCCCAAGTTGTTGGATTTTTTTTTTATTTATATTTTTTAACCCTCACCCAAGGATATTTTTCCATTGATTTTAGAGAGAGTGAAAGAGAGAGGGAAAGACAGAGAGAAACATCGATGTGAGAGAAACACATGGATTGGTTGCCTCCTGCCAGAGCCCCGACCAGGGCCCGGGCTTTCAAACAAACACCCAAACAAACAAAGGGGTGTTTGGTTGAAGAGCCTACAACGGAGGTACATGCCCTGGACCGGAATCGAACCCGGAGCCCTTCGGTCCGCAGGCCAATGCTCTATCCACTGAGCCACACCGGCTAGGGCCTAAGTTTTATCATCCGCTGTCAAAGGGGAAAGGTGACGCTGTTATTATGTAGGCAGGAGGAGACTCACGGGCAGTATTTAAGACCATTCAGATATTCTGCCCACAAGTGAAACCCTATTTCCCCTGACGGCTGAGACCGCAGCATCATTCCGTTCCTACGTCCGTGACAAACGCCCGACTCACTCGGGATTCCAGTAACTGGGTACCATCCCCGGGTACCGGGCAGCCGTCGGAACAACTGGCCGAGCGTGTCCAGACGCCGCCGTGGACAGGGTGACCTTTCATTCATTTCCCAGTGGGCTCACCTTTGCGTCTCAGGGCAAGTGAAGCAAGAGGAGGAGTGGGCGGGTCCCGTATTTGTGTCCGGAGGATTGCGTCAGATGAAAACAAACGGATTGTATGTGCCTCCTGCTTTTCCTCCTGCCTCCGCTTCTCCCCAGACTCCGTAAATCTTACTGGCAAGATGGAGTCAAGCTTCCTGTTAACCCTTGAACATGTCACAGCTCCGTGGGAGCAAAAACAAGTGGCACCCAGCTTGCTCACACATGGCCCCGGGAGCGGCAGGACCAGCCCTGAGGAATGAGGTGCGGCCTGGCCTGGGGACAAGCTGGAGCGGCCGCCCGTGGAGGGCGGCCCGGAGCGCTGTCCGTTGATGGCGTTTCCCTGCCCACACGTCTGACGCGCTCAGGAAAGATTGACAGGGGTGTTTGTTTGAAAGTCAGACTCCTGCTTTCCCCACTAGCACAGAGATTCCCGCACATCTCGCTTGTTTCTAGAAACTTCAATTACCTCTCTGATGAGGAGGATGGCCCCTCTTCACATTCACCCCAAGTTTACAGAGGAGGTCATTTTCTAACAATGTGTTAGGGCAATAAAAAAAATCACTAGAGGGTGGGAGGAGGGAGGAGGGAAAGCAGGAGAGAGAGAGAGAGGGGAGAGAGTGAGGCAGACACTAGCTCTCCCTGCTGGAATAATAGGCTTGAAATATGAGGAAGTTGACCAAGGGCCCAGGCCGTCCACAAACAGATTAATACCCCTCCCTCCCCCCCCCCCCCCCCCCCCCCAGTAGCTCTCCTCCCAGAACCAGCTTTGCTCCTTCACATTCTCTATCGGCCTGGACACAAGAGGGCATGGGGCCACCTGTCATCCTGAGCTTGGAGTCATTTTGTTGTTGATTTGAGGACGTGCACATTTTAAAACGTTTCATTCGTGCCTCTGCCGTTTTGTTGCTGTCTTCTGGGTTTGCTGATGTAAAGACTGTAGTCCTGGCCTTGTCCTTTTGTGAATAATTCTGAGAGAGAGACTACCCCAGGGCACCATCCTGAATATACAGTGTCGGTTCTCAGAGGGGAGTGGGGAGCTGCCCCTCGCCCCTACCCCCGGGACATTGACAGTATCTGGAGACGTTGGTTGTCGTTGGTTGTCACAATTCTGGGAGTGGGGACGCTGCTGGTATCTGGTGGGCAAAGGCCAAGGACGCTGCCAGACATCCTACAAGGCAGGCTCTGGACAGCCCTTCACATCCCCACAGAGAACTGTCTGGCCGAGAGAGGGCCACGGTGCCACCTTTGAGAAGCTCTAACACAGGGAGCCCTCTCTGACACCCAGGCCTCCAGTGGCTCCCAAGGGCAGCCTGTGGGTGAGAGGATGCAGGGGGGCCATGCCGGGGAGTCGAAGCCAGTCCCTGAAGCTGGAAGGCATAATTCTAGCAAGATGAGTTTTAGAGACGAAGCTTTGCCATTCCTGGTAAAATGTCGGCATGGGGAACATGCAGTCGCTAAATCAGGCCCTGCAGCCACTCGTGGTAACAAACCGTGGAGGCGTGATGGTGAACGCCAGGTGGACCAGGCTGAGCCCTTTCTAAGAATGTGGGGCGAGTCCGAGGTCGAGGTGGGGAGAGCGGTGGTGCTGGTATCCACTCCGTCACTCCTATGCTGTGCATGCGTTGACTCACAGGAAGTTGCCAATTTTGAACTGTTTGAGGCCTAACAAAATGGCAATTTCCTATGATTCAACCTAAATACTATGTCTAATGTATTGTAATATTATACATTAGTATTGTTATGATACTATATCATATTATGCATGATATAGTCTATTGATATGAATGTATTAATGTGTCCATTTTATTTCTAATTATTATATAGTGTTACATTGTGTTATCAATTATAATTATATTAATGTCAGAGACTAAATTTATATTAATATTGGTGCATTAGTGTATTGATTATCTAGAAGATTGGCCAGCTTTTTTCTGTAAAGAGCCAGAAACTAAATATTTTAGTATTTCAGGGCCCTGCAGTCTAAGTCGTGACCCTCAACGCTGCAGCGGCAGCTCAAACGCAGGCAGAGACAACGCATAAAGGAATGCAGCTAATGCCAATAAAGCTTTATGCACTGACCCTGAAATTTGAATCTCACATAAATTTCATTACAGGACACAGTCTTCCTTTGACTTCTTTTTCAACCACTTAAAAATATAATAATGCTCATTCTTAGCTTGTGGGACACGAAAACGCACGGCTGGATTTGACCCCTGGGCTGCAGTTTGCCAACCCGGATGACACCAGTCATTGTATCTGTACTACACACGCCTACGTCATGTCTATACTCTACATACTGTACCCATATTAGATCTCTATTGTTATGCTACGTGATAGCATATTATATTAGCGTTTATGTTACTTGGTAGCATATATTCTCTTCTTTTACTATACATTATCATACTATCTCTCTGGGCAGCAGCATTCTGGGTACTCTCCTAGCTTCCTGGGCAGTAGCATTCCGGGAAGTCCCCATCTCCCAGAGCAGCAGCATGCTGGGTAATTTTTCAGCTTCCTGGACAACAGCATTCTGGGTAGTCTTCCAGCTTCCTGGGCAGTAGCATTCTGGGTACTCTCCTAGCTTCCTGAGCAGTAATACTCGGGTAGTCTTCCAGCTTCCTGAGCAGCAGCATTCTGGGACGTCCTCAATTCCTTGGCAATAGTATTCTGCCTAGTGACCCACCTGCCCCAGCAGCAGCATTCTGGGTAGTCGCCCACCTCCCCGGACAGCAGCATTCTGGGTAGTCCCCCACCTCCCTGTTCAGCAGCATTCTGGGTAGTCCCCCACCTCGCTGGACAGCAGCATTCTGGGTAGTCCCCCACCTCCCTGTTCAGCAGCATTCTGGGTAGTCCCCCACCTCCCCGGGCAGCAGCATTCTGGGTAGTCCCCCACCTCGCTGGACAGCGGCATTCTGGGTAGTCCCCCACCTCGCTGGACAGCGGCATTCTGGGTAGTCCCCCACCTCCCTGGGCAGCGGCATTCTGGGTAATGGTCCTGCGGGGGGCCGGCAGCGAGGGCGGACCCCCTGAGCTCCCCTCTCACCATGATGCTTTCCCGCCCGCAGCGGCCCCCGAGCTGACGGCCTTCGGCGACCCGCGCCAGTTCCCGGCGCTGCCCTCCATCTCGGACCCGCGCATGCACTACCCGGGCGCCTTCACCTACTCCCCGACGCCCGTCACCTCGGGCATCGGCATCGGCATGTCGGCCATGGGCTCGGCCACGCGCTACCACACGTACCTGCCGCCGCCCTACCCGGGCTCCTCGCAGGCGCAGGGCGGCCCCTTCCAGGCGGGCTCGCCCTCCTACCACCTGTACTACGGCGCGTCCGCCGGCTCCTACCAGTTCTCCATGGTGGGCGAGCGCTCGCCGCCGCGCATCCTGCCGCCCTGCACCAACGCGTCCACCGGCGCCGCGCTGCTGCACCCCAGCCTGCCCACGCCCAGCGACGCGGGCGAGGCCGAGGGCAGCCACAGCAACTCGCCCACCATGCCCGCCGCGCGCCTGGAGGAGGCCGTGTGGCGGCCCTACTGAGCCCACCTCGCGGGCCGCCGGCACCAGCTGGACCGGCCGGGCCCCCGCGCGCTGGCACCAGCTGGACCGGCCGGGCCCCCGCGCGCTGGCACCAGCTGGACCGGCCGGGCCATCGCCATCGCCATCGCCATCGCCGCCGGCCTCCAGCGCCATCGGAGCCCGCCGTCTGCAGAGTGTGACGGTCCGGCCATGTGGCCCCCGGGAGGCGAACAGGAAGATTCCAGAGGAAAACTGTGAATGCTTCTGAATTAGCAATGCTGTGAATAAAAGAAAGATTTTATACCCTGACTTCACTTTTTAACCAAGTTGTTTATTCCAAAGAGTATGGAAGTTTGGTTCAGGGTTGGGGGATGCAACTCATCCTGTTTGGCATCGAATTGGTATTTTTCATGTTCTTTTCCAGCACCTTATAAATTGCAAAATGCGTATTTGCATTTGAGGTGGTTTTATTTTTATATACATATATATAAAAATTTGAGCTTGCTTCTTTCTTGCTATGACAATTGAAAAAAAATATGATTCCTTTTCTTGTAAGGTTTATTTAACTTTTCTTTTGGACTTTTGTGTAGTTGTGTGTTTTTGTTTTTTTAAGAAACAGCTACAGCTTTGGGTCATTTTCAACTACTGTATTCCCACGAGGAATCCCTAGATATTTATGTATCTTGATGTATAGACAGTTACTTATGTGTTGATACTTTTTTATTATTTAAATGTACTTATATTAAGAAGAAGAATATCAAGTACTACATTTTTTTTTTGATAGTAGCCAAAGTTAAATGTATCACATTGAAGAAGGCTGGGGAAAAAGGATGGGTAATGTGATCCCTTGGTTATCTACATATTGTTTACATTAAACTTCCTTTAATGTTAATCAAACGAGTTGGTAGCTAATGCAGCAATGTTTTAATAGCCTTTTCAGATCCTGAGGGTTCATCCAGAGACCCGAGGCAGGGGGTGTTCTGCGGAGCCCCACAAAGGCTCTGCTGCCTGACTCCCGCCCTGGAAGCAGAGGTCAGGCCTGGCTCCAGAGGGCTCGGGAGATGCCAGCGACGGCCCCTCTGGCAAGGACTCACTGTCGGCCTAGGGATCCGCTCACTGCGTGCCTCTTGGTAACTTCAGAACACATCCAAAGTCAGCCATGTGGGGAGCAGTATCCACATGGGAGCCAAATCCGTGAATTCAGGGGTTCCTGTGATGCTGGGTTCTGGGTGGGAAGGAGATCTGCCGAATCCAGAATGTAGTGGCTTTTAGCTTTAAGAAAATGCTCCTCGTTTGCAGTTACCTGCTCGTTTACACAGAACAAAACGTGTGGCTGTTCCCCGAGGCTGGGGGTGGAAGGGACTGGGCCGGGTGCCTTTGCCCGCTGCAGGTCCCCGGCCAGGATGGGCCCAGCAGCCGGCCTGCGCGAGCCAGTCTCCCTCCGTCTCTGGAGTCCCGCGGGACAGCATCAGTCCCAGCTGTGCAGGCCCCCACCCCGTGCTGCTCGCTGACCACCCACCTTCGTGTTGCCGTCCCCAGGCTGAGACCCTCCCCTGGGGGGAGGGAGGGTGCACTTTGACCTGCGTGTCCTGTGAGCGGAAAGATCCGTGTCACGCCTGCTGCCCATGGCTACAAGTCAAGCACAGCCGATGTCACTGTAAACTGATGGCACTGTTTTGACTGGAGGATCCGGCCAGAGCGCACAAATACTCCAGCTCGTACACACGAGCTGCTGACGTCGGCCTGCGTGCGCTCAAAGTGGTCGGGGGCCGTTTAATGCGCCGCTTCAGCTCCTGGGCACGACTTCGGGTCAGCTCGGAAGAGCGTGTGAGAGCAGGACTTGAGAACAGTGTTTGGTTTTTATTCTGTAAATGTAAGGGTTCGCGTTAGGAAGATCTTCGGCTGCAGGCAGCAAAGACAGCTGAGTTTATTTAAAACAACTTGTTTTTGAGTTTTCTCCTATATCCAGGGGTGGGGGACGTGGGTTTACAGTTGTGAATATGCAAAACACAGAGTTTATTCTTGTATTGTTATTTATTCATTATTGTATTATTTGCCATGCGAGCGGCTGTTCCCCGACTGTTGCCCGCCCTGGGTATGCTGTTTTACGCAAACGCAGTAGCACTTTGGTGAGAGGTGAAGAGGAAGGAGTCTGTCTTGTGAGGTCAAGGGTCTCTAGAAAAGGGCTAAGCAGAGCTCGGGGAAACCCCAGGCGAGGTCCATGTTCATTTTAGACATAATCCTCCCTCCGGCATTCATTTTCCTATTTTATTCTAGATTGCTTTATTTTATTTATTTATTTGGCAGGAAAATTACCTGCCAGTCCATTTAAAATGTCCATTTCTGAAAAGAACCCTCAGCCCGTTTACCCCACATTGACTTCAAATGTTCTTTCCAGCACCTGTGGCCACATCTACCCTGACAAAATGCTGGGGAAAATGAAGGAAAAAAATTTTTTTGTTGTTCAATTCTGGTCCCTGATGATATTCCAGCTGGAAATCAGCCGAGGGTCCTGCACCAGAATCAGGTCACCTGTTGCGTGAGCCTTCGGTCTGAGGCCACGCGTGAGCAGGGCTGCTCGCTGTCCCACAGGCCCACGGGTTTGGCCATCCAGAGTCCCCTTCCAGCAGATTCGGTATTTAATTGTTTCAGAAAAAGTGAATCTGAGGTCAGCTGTTTGGGAGATAGAGGGCACAGCTAGTGACTTTCCCTGAGGGACTGCGTCGTCCGGCCGGTACATTAAGGTGGCCTTTCAGCCGGGAGGCCAACAGCCAGTGATGGCAAAGCCAGGTGTCTCCGGGAGCCTTGGTGCCGGAGAAGAAGCATGAGCTAAGCCATCTCTCAATCTTATTTATAATTAGACATGGACACGTTTCACTGCAGTGTTTTCTTTTTCTCACTATCGATCATACTTACAGTTCTCTCCCTCTTTGCCCCTGTAACATCTCCCACTGTCTCTCTCCCCCTCTCCTCCTCCTTCTGTCTGGGAAATACACCCCTCCCAACACCAGGAGTCCAAACTGGAGCAGCCACGAGTGGGCTTCTTGCCGCTCGGGTGCCCGCGGCCGCGGCTGGAGCCTGCCAGGCCGGGCACAGTCAGAGCTGAAGCTGCCCGGGCTGTGCCCACCGACGGAACGGCTCTCACTGGGCGGGAAACGCGTGGTCTCACCCCAAGCCCTGCAGTTCCCATTGCGGGTTTCTGTCCGGGCCTGTTTCCGTGGGACATCCTGCCCAGCGATTCTCGGTGTGGGTGGTGTTTCTTTCCGGGGGGGTGACACGTTTGGGGTCTGTTACACAGCGAACGTCAGTCTAACCATCGTCTCAGAAAACAGCTGTGACGTCTGAACAGATGCCTTTGCGTTCACCGGCAGGGCACACTGTTCGGGGTTTTCTGCTTGTCTCTCTGGCATTTTCCTCTCCCTGCAGCCAGGTCAGGGCCCATGAGGCTGGCCGCTGGGTTACTTTTTCCTTCCAGGAGAGTTGCATCAACAAAGTTCGTTGTATTTATGTCTGTAAATAGGTTTTAAGCTCCATTATAAAATATTGTTAATACGATAACTTTTTTCAATTTTATGTGTGCTTCTAAGGACGTTTTCTTACGTTTGCTCAATACTGTAGACAAAAATGCTTCTTTATCCTTTGTTTATTTTAGACTTTAAAACAAACTACTTTTTATCCACTTTTATAAAGAGCTAATGGCATGGTTGCAAAATTTTTTTAAGTTCACTTTTGTTTGAGGGAAAATGAATGTGCAAAAAAAAAAAAAAAAAAACCGTGCGTTCTCTGTGCTGTTCTGGATGTGTAACCATCAACGGAAAAAATAAACTTTCAAATTGAAACGACGGCGGAACGTCTCTTGAAAAAGCGGCCAGCAGGTGCGGTCCTCGCGGCCCGTGGTGGCCGCTCCCCGTGGGGCGGGTTCTGCGCAGGGGCTCCCGGGGGACGCGCGGGTCCTCCTCCCGCTGCCCACAGACCCTTCCTGAGGGACTGTCAGTCTCGAGCTGGAAACCAGAGAGGCTGGGAGGCAGCCAGGTCCTCTCTGAGGTGGTTCTAGTGGTGCAGGAGGGCGGGCACTTGGGCCCAGGTTCCTGCATGATCGGAGTGGCCCCTTCCGTCCTCCAGAGCAGCCCTGGTGCCCAGCCTCGTGCCTAGCCTCATGCCCAGCCCTGTGCCCAACCCTTATGCCCAGCCCTGTGCCCAGCCTTATGCCCAGGTCTCATGCCCAGCCCTCATACCCAACCCTCATACCCAGCCCTGGTGCCCAGCCTCGTGCCCAGCCCTCATGCCCAGCCCTGGACGCAGCCCTCGTGCCCAACCCTCATGCACAGCCCTGGTGCCCAGCCCTGGTGCCCATCCCTGTGCCCAGCCTCATGCCCAGCTCATGCCGAGCCCTCGTGCCCAGCTCTTGTGCCCAGCCTATGCAGGGTGTCCCGGTGTCTGGACTGCCGCTGCCCAGGACCCTCGGAGCCTCACTGTCTTTGCCCCACAGTACCTTCTGTGAGCCCCATGTGATAATTAGTGAATGGCAAGTACACAGTGTGGCAGAACCTAGACCCTATCACAGCGGTTCCAGCTTTCTCTGACGTGCAGGGCTGGGGCCACAGGAAGCCCACGCAACACACAGGACAGAGCCCTGGGGGGCAGCCCCTCCCAGCAGCCGCCTGGCTCTGAGGGCCCTGGCCAAGTGCAGGCCTGGCTCCCAGGGCTGCCCCCTGGGTGCTCAGGAGCCTGGAGCAGGCTTCCACGCTTGTCTTCAAAAACAAAAGGAAGAGGGAGAAAGAATTACGTGTGCTTTGCAAACACGACGTGGAAAGGGGTTGTGTTCAACCTGCGGCCAGTCACCTGTCGGCTCCCTTCCTGTCAGTCCCAGGAGGCAGCCTGAGCGGTGGTGGGAGCTTTAGGAAGTTCTTTCTGCCCCTCCCCGCCCTGCAAATTACTGCTAGTGTTTCCGCCCCCAGGTCTGTGCCACCCACGTTACCTCCCAGCCAAGAAGCATGGCCGAGCGCTCCTTCCAGTCTGGTCACCGTCGTCTCGCCGTCTTAAATGTGGCCACAAAGGATATCAGGAACGGAAGCGAGCGGGATCAAGAGAAACTGGGACGTGGGAAGTGATGGCTACTGAGCGAGGCGGGAGGCGGGGGAGGATCGGTCATCTGCGGTCAGGAAGGAGGCCTTGGGGCGGCGGAGAGCATGGCCCCAGGGGCCAGACTGCCTGGGGGTGCCCAGGATTGTCACACGAGGGAACACGTGAAACCAGTGCCCTAGTTCTTCCCAGCTGTGAAGACAGTTTCCAGTGCTGGCACTTAAGTAAGTTCACACATGTCAAACACTTGAGAGTTTGGCACATAACACATGCTCAGTGCATGCTAACTGCACAAGGTGGTGCTACGCATCGAAATGGAAACCCTACCACATGATCTCACATACATGTGGCACCTAATGAACAAAATGATTTCACAGACAAGGTGGAAACAGACTCACAGAGAAAGAACAGACGGGTAGCAGTCAGAGGGGAGGGAGTTTGGGGGCTGGATGAAAAAAGGTGGAGGGATTAAGCAAAAGAACTATATACATCCGGTGCACAAAAGTCGTGCACAGGAGGGGGGCTCCCCTCAGCCCAGCCTGCACCCTCTCCAATCCGGGACCCCTTGGGGGATGTCTGACTGCCAGTTGGACATCCCTCTCACAATTCGGGACTGCTGGCTCCTAACCACTCACCTGCCTGCCTGCCCGATCGCCCCTAACTGCCCCCCCACCAGCCTGATCACCCCCAATTGCCGCCTCCCCTGCTGGCCTGGTCACCCCTCACTGCCACCGCCTGTGGCCTGGTCACCCCCAACTGCCCCCCCTGCCAGCCTGGTTGCCCAACACAGCCTGATGTTCAGTCGTTTAGTCGTCCCTCACTAACCCCCCTGCCGGCCTGGTCGCCCCACGCAGCCTGTTCGGTCGTTACTGTTACTGTGACGGCGTCCCGGACAATTTGCATATTCCTCTATTATTAGTACAGATAACTCATAGGCACAGACAACAGTGCGGTAACAGCCAGAGGAAAGGGGTGGGAGGGGAGAGGGCAAAGGAGGGGATACATGAGGACAGAAAGAGACTTTGCTGAGGGCAATGGGCGCACGAGGCAGTGTGCAGATGAGGTTTTGTTGGGTTGTGCACGTGAAACTTTTATGGTTTTATTAACCAGTGTCACCCCAATAAATGCAATAAAATAAAAATGTAAACAACACCCGGTAAAAAGCTGAAACGTCCCACTTCTCCCACCCCACGCCTGGCTGGGGCTGTCAGCTGTTTTGTGCTCATCCTTCCAGGCTTTTCCGTACCGACAGTGCACAGACCATGTTTTACCTGCATCCATGCAAAAGGCAGCATTTCTGCTTCCCCATCGGCACTTAGACCTCCTTCAGCCGGCACACGGCTATGCCACCCCATCTACCGCCCTGTCCTGGCGGGCACCACGCTGCCCTGGTGTCTTGCATGGGAACAGCCCTCCGAGGCCTTCTGCGTGTGCATGTGCCCTGTGCTAGAACTTTTGTAGACTTAAAGGGAACTGCGGGTTCAGAAAGACTTGAGGTTTTGACCATCACTCTTTCAGGAGGTTTTATTGAGGTAGGTTTCTGGGGTCGGCACCTCATGCTGTAGGAAGAGGAAGACTGAGACTCGCCAGGTGGGAGCTAGGTCGCCGCTGTCTCTGGCGGCGTTTGAGCTAGGCCTTGGTGCGGAGAGGTTTCAGCACCTTCCGAAGTGCTCATGTGCTGCAGAGGAGGAAAGGCGGCCTGCAGAGAAACCACAAGCATGGTAAGTGCTACTGAAGCCAGTCTCCACCGCGGGCTCCGCGGACACCGGCTGGCTGGGGTCATACACTGGCCCTGGGGACACGAGAAAGCCAAGGTTCAGGGAGCAGGTGGAGGAGCAGTGACCTGGCCCGGATGCCTGCTTCCAACACCCTCTGCCCTGAAGCTCAGAGCAGCACTCCAGCCACTGTCGACAAAGGAGCTGTCCAAACCCTTGACGGTGGCCTCCCCACAAGGCCCTTCTTGAAAAGCAGGAGAAATGACTGTGCGAGCGTGGGGGGCAAACAGGGGGCAGGTGGGGACAGAAGGGCTTCAGGCACAAGGTCACAGCGAGGTTCCAGGTCAGAGCCACCTCCCGGCACGCCCGAGAGTATCAGACCCCGTGACAGCTGAGTGGCCTCAGTCCACCACACCCTCTCACAGTGCTCTTCGTTTATTGGTTTATTTTTAATTCATAAATGTTATTTTATATACAATTATTATTATTATTATTATTGATTTCAGAGAGGAATGGAGAGGGAGAGAGAGGGAAACATCAATGATGAGAGAATCATTGACTAGCTGCCTCCTCCACATCCCCTTCTGGGGACCAAGCCTACAACCCAGGCCTGTGCCTTCACCAGAATTGAACCTTGACATGGTTCACAAGTTGACACTCAACCACTGAGCCACGCCGTCCAGGCCATAAACTTTATTTTTTAGAAGTTTTAGGCTTACAGGGAAATTTAGAAAAGAGTCTGGACAGTCCCCATCCCCTGGCATCACATGCACCCCAGCACTCAGACCCCAGCACGCGCACCCCAGCACATGCACCCCAGCACTCAGACCCCAGCACGTGCACCCCAGCACTCATACCCCAGCACATGCACCCCAGCACTCAGACCCCAGCACGTGCACCCCAGCACACGCACCCCAGCACGTGCACCCCAGAGCACGCATCCCTATCATCGATATTTCAAACATCAGGAGGTGCCTTTGCAACCGTGAATGAGCCAATACCAACCCCTTATCGCTCATTAAAGTCCAGAGTCCATTCCGTTATCCTCAGTTTCGCCTCGCCCAGCCCTGGGGCTTCCCGGGGATGGGGGTGCCTCCTCCCTGACCCACAGGAACCAGCTCTCCTCCTGTCTGCTGAGAGGGGAGGAGACACGGGAATGCACTCACTTCACCGCCCTGGCGGAGGCGGGTGTGGGCAGACCCAGCCTCGGGAACCACATCCGCATCCCTCCCGTCCCCTCTGCTCCCGTGTCCCTGAGGCAGCGCCTGAGGATGGAAGTCTTGCCGTGCAGAGCAGGGTCCTGTGTTACTGGAAATCCCGTGAGCGGGCACCGCTTCCTCGCCGCAGTGACCCCGAGACGGTCCTGCACGGGAGCGAGCTGGGGTGTCTCCTGCCAAACCCGCCTTTCACCTGACAGAGTCGGTGACCAGGCCGCGTCCTCCCCCCAACGGAGGAGGCGGACCCACCATTAGCCGGCACCAGGCAGTGCCCGCAGCTGCCCTGACAGCACCACACGCTGGTGGCTTACCCAACAGAACGACATCCTCTGTGTGGAGGCCAGAGTTCCAGGTCATGGTGGCAAGGACGGCTCGGTCTGGAGGCTCTGAGGGAGGATCTGTCCCGACCTCTCTGCTTCTGCTCCCTGCCCCGGCCTGGGGGCTCCCCCCCAGGTCTTCGGTGACAACCCCCACCCTCAGTGCTCCCCCCAGGTCTTCGGTGATACCCCCACCCTCAGTGCTCCCCCCAGGTCTTCGGTGATACCCCCACCCTCAGTGCTCCCCCCAGGTCTTCGGTGATACCCCCACCCTCAGTGCTCCCCCCAGGTCTTCGGT